AATATTTTTAAAAGCTATCCAATGATAAACTTTTTCAACCAAACTTGCTTAATGATACCAAACTTTTTCGGGGTAGGGGCAATTTTGTATTTTTAAATTTGCACCCCAATTTTATATTGCAGATTTGGATTCCCCAGCAAAAAGTAGCTAAAGTAAGCTGTAGGCTTATGCAATTTACTTCCCAGAAGAAGGTGTTGCAATCTAGAAAAATTAAATAGAGTACAAGCTGTTTAAATTGTGAATCTCGAGATTCAGCATGACGGTTTTCAAATGCAGGCTGAAATTGGTGCTTTCGCAGGTGAAAATAATTTATGACTGGTGTAATCATTCTTCATTTTTTGATGTTTAGATTTAAGCACACCTTTCAAAATATTCGTGAATGCATGATTCGGTATTAAGTGTTAGCTTGAAATAAGGTATTCGCTCAAACAATATTTGCAGTTTTTCAACACCAAATTTGGAAGGGATAAGAGACCACTAGGACTGGGTTATAAATCGATGTATCGCGACATATCGATTTAACGCATATATCGGCAAGACGATACAGCGACTTTCATTCAAGGCGATGCATCAGAAATCTGATTTAAGCCGTCGAGTAAAGACAACGAGCTCAAAACGATATAGCGATATAAGACGCGCAAGGATATAAGATAACGATATAGCGATATAAGAGTCTTCTCTTACGTTCCGATGTCGACTCGCGCTGTGGAAGACGATGTTCGTTTCGTTATGTTGAAATGGCCTTGATTGGTGAGCTGTAGAATCAGAGTTTTGAGAACACATNTTATGCAATTTACTTCACAGAAGAAGGTGTTGTAATGTAGAAAAATTAAATAGAGTACAAGCTGCTTAAATTGTGATTCTCGAGAGCCAGCATGACGGTTTTCAAATATAGGGTAAAATTGGTGTTTTCGCAGGTGAAAATAATTCCTCACAGGTGTAATCATTCTTCATTTTTTCGGTGTTCAGATTTAAACACGCCTTTTAAAATATTCGTGAATGTATGATTTGGTGTTAAGAGTTAGCTGGAAGTAAAGCATTCGTTCATACAATACTTGCAGTTTTTCAACACCGAATTCGGAAGGGATAATAGACCACAGATTTTTCAGCGTCACATTACATTATATTTTAGATTTCCTTAAAAGTAAATGCTTCATAATTTAATTATATAATAAAGAAAGTTTGAAATGAGTTATTATTATGGATGAATAATAAAATTATATATCCTTTAATTTTACTCGCTATTTTATAAACCAATTTTAAAATATTCGGGCACCAACAGAAAAGTTTAAAGAGATTAAAATTCGAACCGTATACAGATAGGAATTTATATTTAACTCAGAATACATTAGCCTAACGTTTATTCAAATGCTTAGAGATAACATCAAACATTTGACTTTGAAAATGTTAAGGCAAATTGATGTATCAAACTTTTCAACCCAAATGAAGAAAATTGAATTAACTCGAACATCCGTTTGTAGATTCTCCTCTGCGAAATGAAATTACATTTGAAAACTATTCAATTTATAGTGACTATGTAAATTTTGAATCCAAACTGAGTCAATTTTGTTAAAGTCATAATTTAAAATCCTGGTTTAATTCAAATTACTAAGCGAAAATTCTACAAAAGGCAATACAATTAAGTAAGCACAAATAATAGCATGTACCAAATGCTAAAAGCTCATTAAAAGTCAATTATTCATTAATGATAAAATTTCAGATGGATAACAGTACTTAAGGATTCTTTTTAAAATTTAGTTACATTTTTGAAAGTTTAAATTGCGACTTTTGAAATAATGTTAACAACTTAGATAGGAATTTTTCTGTGTTTTAATAGCACTAGCAATAGAGTTAGCATATTTGTACCAGCTAAATTTTAAGAGATGAATTTATGTAAATAACTGGAAAATGTAATTAAAAGTAGTTTTCCTATTTTATCCAAGTGACTTTTATAATTACACTTAATTTATTTTAGAAGTAATTTGCATAATTTTACATTTATAATTTAGCTTTTCATAATTTTACTTAAAAGAGGAATTGTCATGATGAAAAGCAATATAGATGATGTGTTTGCAAAAGGCTTAATTTTAAATTAATATTTTTGTTTAAAACTTTATATATTTTCTTGAGATCATCATGGATTTGCTGGATTTCTAAAATCGATATAGATTATCGATAATTGAAAATCGATAATCGATATGACATTAAATCGATAATCGATTATTTAAAAAAATGATATTCATAGATATTTTAAAATCTGAAAGTCTGTAAATATTTCTAAAGAGATTTTTAAAAGTATTTGATTTTTGTTTTTTTGTTTCGTTAAAAAATATTTCACATTATGAAATTGCAGATAAAGTAGCTTTAAGAAAATTTATATGTTTTATATTTATAATATTGTTTTATATTCTCTTGCATTACTGTTTATGTAAGAATTTAAAACTTTTCAGTCATTTCTAACTAGATTTCTAAACCTATTTTTTGCAATTATTGAAAGCATAATTCAAATTGTCATCTAAATCTCTTTCCATGATTCTAATCTCCTTACAATGTAATTTATGCGAAGAAATTTCGAAAGTTATAATTTTAAATCTAGGAATGCTTTTAAAATTTTTTACATTGCTGAGGGATACTGATATTTGGAAATCAATAACTCTTCACATATTTCTAAAAAGATTTTTTAGAGTATATCTGAGACATTTTGAAAACATAAATCTAAACACAATCTGAATATACGTCTTTTACTTGTTGAAATTGTTGAAACATAAATAAAACTGCCATCTAAATTTCCTTCCACGATTCTATCCTCTTTGAAATACAATTTATGGGAGGAATTTTAAAAGGTGATAATTTCAAGTAGATAAGTATATAAAATAATTTAAACATTATCATGGTTACTGCCCATATGAAATTTTATCAGTTCAATTATTTTTAACGAGATTAATTTTAAAACATTGGAACATATATTAAACAACTATCAGATTTTACTTTCATCTTTTGACATTGCACTGAAGAGTTTGACCAAGAATATGATTCAAATGAGCTGCTATCTTTAATATGGCATAAAAATGGACGATATTAATAAACTTCTGAAATTTGAACACATGATACTACGGTTCAACTTGAATGAAAGCATGGCTCAATGCACCCCTTAATTTAGATTATAGTAAATTGAACTGTAATGAGGTTCAAAATACGGATAATGTGGTTTGATATTGAGCCTTTCAGAGAGTGTATACATTTTTCTGGTTTATAGGATTTTATCTTTATTATTTTCAGATAATGGTTTAATCGTTAGGAATAAAATAAAGTAATATTACTGAAATGATATTTTCATGTTATTAAATAAACCTCAAACATCACTAAATTTATGTTTGATTAATCGGCAAATGGACTCATGCAACCCTTCATCATTCATTCTCGCCAAACTGGTTATAATTGTGATGCTACGCCAACTGAGCCAAGAAAATGTAGTTACGAAACATTTTCTCCCACAATACCTGTATTACACTGGGAACAGAGACCATTAGGTTAATGGGTATAGTGCGTTAATTTTGAATGCCTCTGTAGTTACAAGTTGTTCTACTTCACTAATGGCTTCGTTAAGCGATTCCTTCTGCTATGTTTAGTCTCAATGTAGATTTATGAATGTCTTTGAAAAGAATTTAGTTTCGATTGCATTTTCTGAAATACATCTTTATTTCGTCTGCTGGTCAAAAATAAATATGAATCTTATATTAAAGTAACTCGCTTTTGGAAGAAAGGGTTTTGAAAAAAATGTACAAGAACCAAACTTTAAAATTTAAATTTTCATAATTCATTTAATAATTTAGGTATGAATTATTGTAGCCACTTAATCCCTATGTGGCTTTACATAAAGGAAATTTGTTAATTTTACTTCCATGTAAACTAAAATATTCTTTAAGACATGTAATAAAAACTAACATGTTACCCATTATACTGTAAAGAATTATGGTTTAAATTACTGTAAAAAGTACCGGCACTCAGATTGCCGGTACTTTTTACCATAAAATCCATTTTTACCGGTACATAATACGGACCAAAAGATCTGATATACCATAGTTTTTACAGTGATAATTACCGTAAAAACACTAAATCTCACCATAATTTAAGAATACAATAATTCTCATCTTATGCACTTTTTCTAAAATCTCCAGGCATTATAGCCAATGCCAGAATTTCCAACAAGCAGATATTATACAGCATTTGTCATTGTGTGCAATCCCCATACGTTAAGCATACAATAATTTTCAAATTATGTATTTTTCATAAAAGCGTCATGTCTTATATATAATTCCAGAATTTCTTACATTGCTTGTAACAGATATTATATCATTTCATATTGTATACAATACCCATAGGTTAAAGATGCAATAATTATTTTATTATGCATTTTTCCTAAAACTGACAGGAATTATTGACAATGCCAGAATTTTCTACACTGCTGGTAAGAGATATAAATTACATTTGCCATTGTATGCAATATCCATAGATTAGGGATACAATAATTCTCATATTATCTATACATTTCCTAAAAATACCGAGCATTAACCAACGCCAGAATTTGCTACATCAATATTTGCAGGTATTGAAACATAAATGTTCGGTCTTCTTTTATTTATTTTATTTTTATAAATAAAAGCTAAATGAAAACTATAATGAACTGCATTTCTTTCTATATTTAATTTAACATCTTCACCATGTTAGTTTGGTACTCGTATTGGTTTCAAATAGAATATCAATTTGTTTATTTAAAATCAATTTTTTGCAAGACCAATTTATTATAGATTGCGTGAGATCTTTTACTGCAATTTACCCAACTCTTTTTTTTTCATTTACAAAAAAAAAATTAATCGAAAGCTTTTCCAGTTATAAGGATAAATTATATACTCTCTGATTTCTTTAATGCGTTTGTCGTGTCCCTTATTGATTCGTGTTTCCTTCGTATTTTGATATCTTTTTTCTCAATGTTTGTTTAGATCGCTTCCGGCTACTATGAGGAGTTTGGCGAGCATGATGAAATTGGGAAAGCAAAGGCCGCCACCGGAAGAAGATGAGAGGAAATCACTCAAGGACTGCGACCAACTGGAATATGGTCAGTCGACCCTTCCTTAATTTGTTTTCTTTCAACTCGAAATGAAACAGCTCATTTAGAAGATGTTTGTTTCATCATTAGTTGGATAACAGCGGGAAAGAAGTTCTTTTTTNTTAAATTAAAAAAGTCTGTAGATATTTCTAAAGAGATTTTTTAAAGTATTTGATTTTTGATTTTTTGTTTCGTTAAAAAATAATTTACGTTATGAAATTGCAGAGAGAGTAGCTTTAAAAAAATTTATATGTTTTATATTTATAATATTGTTTTATATTCTCTTGCATTACTGTTTATGCAAAAATTTAAAACTTTTCAGTCATTTCTAACTTAGATTTCTAAATCCATGAATGCTTTTAAAATTTTTTACATTGCTGCGGGATACTGATATTTGGAAATCAATAACTCTTCAGATATTTCTAAAAAGATTTTTTAGAGTATATCTGAGACATTTTGAAAAATTTGAATATGCTTCTTTTACTTGTTGAATCTGTTGAAACATAAATCTAACTGTTATCTAAATTTCGTTCCACGATTCTATCCTCTTTCAAATACAATTTATGAGAGGAAATTTTAAAGGTGATAATTTCAAATAGATAAATATATAAAATAACTTGAACATTATCATGGTTACTGCCGATATGAAAATTTATCAGTTCAATTATTTTTAACGAGATTAATTTTAAAACATTTAAGCATTTATTAAACAACTATCAGGCTTTACTTTCATCTTTTGACATAGCACTGAAGAGCTTAAGCCATGTTATGGTTCAAATGTGCTGCTATCTTTAATGTGTCATGAAAATTTACGATATTAACATATTTCCGAAATTCGAACACATGTTACTAGGATTCAACTTGAATGAAAACATGGCTCAATGCACCCCTTAATTTAGATTGCAGTCAATTGAACAGTAATGAGGTTCAAAGTACGGATAATGTGGTTTGGTTTTGAGCCTCTCAAAGAGTGTATACATTCTTCTGGTTTATAGGATTTTATCTTTATTATTTTCAGATAATGGTTAAATCGTTAGGAATTAAAAAATGATGTAACTGAAAGGATATTTTCATGTTTTTAAATAAACCCCAAATATCACGAAATTTATGTTTGATTAATCGGCAAATGGATTCGTGCAACCCTTCATCATTCATTCTCGCCAAACTGGTTGTAATTGTAATGCTACGGCAACTGAGCCAAGAAAATGCAGTTACGAAACATTTTCTCCCACAATACCTGTATTACACTGGGAACAGAGACCATTAGGTTAATGGGTCTAGTGCGTTAATTTTGAATGCCTCTGTAGTTACAAGTTGTTCTAGCTACACTAATGGCTTCGTTAAGCGATTCCTTCTGCTATGTTTAGTTTCAATGTAGATTTATGAATGTCTTTGAAAAGAATTTAGTTTCGATAATGTATCGCATTTTATGAAATACATCTTTATTTCGACTGTTGGTCACCAATAAATATGAATCTTATATTAAAGTAACTCGATTTTGGAAGAAAAGGTTTTGAAAAAAATGTACAAGAACCAAATTTTAATTTAAATTTTCTTAATTCGTTTAATAATTTAAGTATGAGTTATTGTAGCCAGTTAATCCCTATGTGACTTTGCATAAAGGAAATTTATTAATTTTACTTTTATGTAAACTAAATTATTCTTTTAAACATGCAATAAAAACTAGCATGTTACCCATTATACTGTAAAGAATTATGGTTTAAATTACGGTAAAAAGTACCAGTACTCAGGTTGCCGGTTCTGATATACCATAGTTTTTACAGTGATAATTACCATAAAAACACTAAATCTCACTATAATTTAAGAATACAATAATTCTCATTTTATGCACTTTTTCTAAAATCTCCAGGCATTATAGCCAATGCCAGAATTTCTATCAAGCAGATATTATACAGCATTTGTCATTGTATGCAATCCCCATACGTTAAGCAATAATTTTCAAATTATGTATTTTTCCTAAAAGCGTCATGCCTTATATATAATTCCAGCATTTCTTACATTGCTTGTAACAGATATTATATCATTTCATATTGTATACAATACCCATAGGTTAAAGATGCAATAATTATTTTATTATGCATTTTTCCTAAAACTGACAGGAATTATTGACAATGCCAGAATTTTCAACACTGCTGGTAAGAGATATAAACAACATTTGGTATTGTAATTGTATGCAATATTCATAGGTCTTAAGCAGTATTTGTCAATGTATGCAATACAAATAGGTTAAAGATACAATAATTATTTTATTTTACATTTTTCCAAAAAATGACAGGAATTATTGACAATGCCAGCATTTTCTACACTGCTGGTAAGAGATATAAACTACATTTGCCATTGTATGCAATATCCATAGATTAAGGATACAATAATTCTCATATTATCTATACATTTCCTAAAAATACCGAGCATTAACCAACGCCAGAATTTGCTACATCGATATTTGCAGGTATTGAAACATAAATGTTCGGTCTTCTTTTATTTATTTTATTTTTATAAATAAAAGCTAAATGAAAACTATAATGAACTGCATTTCTTTCTATATTTAATTTAACATCTTCACCATGTTAGTTTGGTACTCGTATTGGTTTCAAATAGAATATCAATTTGTTTATTTAAAATCAATTTTTAGCAAGACCAATTTATTATAGATTGCGTGAGATCTTTTACTGCAATTTACGCAACTCCTTTTTTCATTTACAAAAAAAAAAATAATCGAAAGCTTTCCTAGTTATAGGGATAAATTATATACTCTCTGATTTCTTTAATGCGTTTGTCGTGTCCCTTATTGATTCGTGTTTCCTTCGTATTTTGATATCTTTTTTCTCAATGTTTGTTTAGATCGCTTCCGGCTACTATGAGGAGTTTGGCGAGCATGATGAAATTGGGAAAGCAAAGGCCGCCACCGGAAGAAGATGAGAGGAAATCACTCAAGGACTGCGACCAACTGGAATATGGTCAGTCGACCCTTCCTTAATTTGTTTTCTTTCAACTCGAAATGAAACAGCTCATTTAGAAGATGTTTGTTTCATCATTAGTTGGATAACAGCGGGAAAGAAGTTCTTTTTTTTCATACCACAAATAGAATAAATAATGTCAGTTTTCAAAAACCTTCACAAAAACTGAAAGAATTAGTGTAATAGAATAAATAAGATGATAAATAAACATCTTAATATTCGATTCCCCTCTTAAAAACTAAGAGTTGGAACAAGTTCTCAACTCTTATCGCGTTGATATCTAAACGACAATATAATATTTTGCAATATTTTAATCTAGCGTAACAAAAGGAATGATATCAAACGTACAAATTGAAAAAAATTCTGGTAAAATTACTGTACTGTATCGTAATGATATTTCCGGTCAAGAAAAAACATATTCTGGTTAATAAAACATATGGTATTTAAACTGCTCCTTTGGAAATTTTTCTGTTCTTATAGTAATAGTATACCAGAAATCCTGATTTTGAAAATTATAGTTCACCACGCATTTGGTAAATACAAAATTGAAAAGTAATTTTTAACCGAATAAATTGTTATGTCATGCATTGAGGTATCTTGATAAAATTATTAAATTTTACCACATATACCAAATTTTATCGGATAATATAAAACGATATTTTATTATTAATTTTAATTAAAATCATTACAAAAGCATTTCGGTAAAAATTACCCTCTTGTTCCTGTCTCAGTCAGACACCTGGTAAATTTTACCATATTCTGGCAGTTTTGACCGTACTTTTTTCTTCTCAGTGTAAGGTAGTTTTAAAATTCCTTTGTTCAACTAAAAGCAAAGAGTTTGACCTTAAAACTTTCGAAAAATAGGGTAATTTTTGTGAATTTTATATCCAATTTATTAAAAAAGTGCTCTTTTTTCATGCTTTATATTCTCAATAATGTAGCAAATAGCATATAAATTACACAGAATGGTAAAAGTCAAAAAAGGGTTGGAAAATATTACTATTCCACTTTGTATTGTTCCAACACAAATATGACTTCACTTTCTTTACATATGTTTTACTTATTTCGCAATTAATTTATAATCTAAGGCTTTGTATCTATTCTATCATCTAAAAATTTTTAGTGCAATTTTAAGTTTAGTTCGTATTTTAACTATTACTTAACAATCCTATTTATCCTTTTCTATTGTTTATGAACTCAAAATGATTTTGAGCTCATTAAAAAAATGAATAATTATGCCTTTTCTGATTATTAACTATTAACATGAAAAATTTATAATAATAACAAAAAGTTTTGTCTCTGCAGTATATTTTTTGCGATATACCCCTTTATTTTTTCCTTGCTTTTGTCTTACTTCTTTTTCCCTTTTTTTCTTGCTTTTGTAATTAGTGTATAAACTGTGTATAGATAATATTTCTATACAAGGCATACATGCATTTTATATCTTCAAAAAAGAGAAAAAAAACTAATTTTCCCTCAACATTTTAAAAACAAAATAAAATGCAAGATAACAGACAGGAGCTGTTTAATTATCCGTTGTTTTGTTTATTTAGTCTCTTAAATCTGCGCATTATGACTTTGGAATTAAAAAAAAATCTCGTAAAAATAATTTTCGTATCTCAGATTCTATTTATTTTTTAAGTAATAAAAAAAACTGAAAACCTATCTCTAGAAGCTGCTATTAAAATAGTTAGATAGTCTCATTTCTGAGCAAAAAAAAAATTTAAAGCTAATTTATCCTTTTTTCCAACATCATACAGGATCCACTATGACTCTCAGTAGAGGAGGTGATAATATCTTTCTGACAGGATCTTCGGATGAAGAAGATAGAATGATGAGACCTTATGATGAATGCAGTACAGATACGGTAGCTCCTTACTCAATCAACACACCCGTAGTTCTCAAGAGATGGTCAGCCGCCGCAAGGTACAGTTTAAGAATATATAGATCAATCACTAAAGTTACGCTTTTCATACATTCAGTAACAGCTGCGATCAAAACAATGATGTTCATAGGGGTCACGGTTGCTCAGGGGATAGATCGTGTGCCTCACAATGAAGTGATCGATTCGAATCCCATCGGTGGTTGCTTGACGAATTCTGCTCCCGATTCGCAACGCCCACAGTGCTGACGTAAAATATCCACAGTGGTAGACGGATCAAGGGTTAGAATCCCCTTGTCGACAGGAAAACAATGGTTTTCCTGACGACAAGGAGGAAGATTTTCGTAGTTTTCTTCTCCGTGTAATGCAAATGTGGGTTAGTTTCATCAAAAAGTTCTCCATGACGAATAGTTCGTTCTAATGCTTGATCCAGGAGTTCCCTTGTTTTCTGGGTTGGGTTGCATATGCATAATTGCAAACTTTTTTTCACTAGAGGATGTATGCGCTATTTTTTGCCGATGATGCTGATTTGAAACAGGCTTTTCTAGCCCTAAGACAGGAGGCAAGTGAAAAGCATCGTACAGTCAACCAGGAAAAAGCTTAATACATTCAATGCACTAAAGGTCTACTACCCATGTGCAAATTGGTATATAAAAATTTGCAAAAAATTATCGCTTTACGTATGAATTTACATTGACAACAACGTCACATCTGAAATTTCAGAGACGAATCACTGTTGCCAGCAGATGCTTTTATGGATTAAAGAAGCATCTAAAACCAAGTTAATTAAAATGATGACTGAGCTATTAATTTATAAATGTCTAATCTTCTAAAAATCTATACTCATCATATACTCATCAGAAACTAGGACACTGACACAAAAAGATGAAAATTATCTTGGAGTCCTTGAGCGGTAGAACCTAAGGGTTATTTTTGGAAAATTACAAGCTTATGGCACAGATGCTCATATTTAGAACTTTAGCTTGCCTTCAAAGAAACCGAGGTCATCAAATACATAAAAATCCAACGAATAAAATGTGCGGGTCATGTTATTAGACTGAATAAAGAACGCCCAACAAAGAAAATATTCTTGGCCAGGCTCTCCGGAACAAGAGCTATAGACCAATCCAACCTCAGATGGTTTGACTACCTAGAAAGGAATCTCGCCATTTTAAGAGAGATTATTTGGAAGACCATGGCCAAAAATAGAGAGGCCTGATAAAAATTCTTGAGATGGCCAAGGCACACTCAGGGCTGTCGTGCCACTGAAGGAGAAGAAGATGCATTGTTACTAATTCTTAAAATAAAAATGTTTGTAAATTGAATATCAGAGCAGCAAAAAGAAAATATTAAGACGAATTCCAACTAGGCTTAATAGAACGGAAACAGGCATAATGTGCATTATATAAAAAAAAGTCAATATTGTTCTCAGAGATATAAAAATTAAAATATAATTATCCTAATTGCACAACTAAAAATATACATATTTAACAGGGAATTTTTGTTTCGGTTGATGAACACCAGCTTCAAAAATAAGAACTAACTATCACCAACTCATTACAGACTGTAAACAAACTATTTGCGACAGTTTACTTGTCATCGGAATTAAAAATAATTCTCGTATGGTGTGAAATCATGATAATTGAGTGTACGATTATTCAATTTTAAGCTTTTAGATTTAAATCGTTTATAAACTTTAGTTTTATTCTGAACACGAGCTAAAGTGTTCCTTCACTCAGTTGATCAACATTATAGCCGGAGAGATATTACACCACAGTTTTTACAAAGTATCGAAATTCCTAAGACAATCAAAAAGTCAATAGTATTTAGGATGGAATGATATGGCTCTTACTTGAGAGATCAAATATTTATTAACTTATACTGAAACTAGTTACGCTTGCTTACTTTAATATTTAATGTTTTGTAGCACAATGGAATGAAATATTTGTTCTTCGAAATTCTTCCTTAAGCGTTTGTGAGAAAATGGCTTCTTCTAAGGAGCGCATTTTAGAGAAAGTGTCACTAGCAATTATTTTCAAATATCGCTTAGCGTTTCATGTTTAGAAATATGATTAATAATGACAGCATTGCGTGGTGCTCAAAATATTTATGTTTTTCTCTCTCCACATCACCCTGTTTTTCCAGAAAAGAGGTAAAATATTGCCCCCTTTTTATGCACTCATATTCATAAAGAAGATTAAATGGAAGCATATTTACATAGACTGGAGAATAATTTCGCATTTTTAAAAATATTTAAAGAAACGCTACAAAAAAGAAATGAACGTTAATGACCAAAATAACGCACTTCTGGCTAAACGTTTAGGCTAAGAATATTAAATGAATTTGAAATTGAATGTTTTCAAATCTAAATAGTGAAATTAAACTTTTATGTTCTCAAAAATATGAAGATAAAATTATACTTTAAAGAATATCTTCGCTCATGCTTAAGCCTTTAACCCAAAAACTCCCGGATAAGTCTCTCAAACCTTCCTTTTGAACACGCATTATTTATAATGTAACGATTGTAAACAAAGCAGTATTCAAAAAATTGGTAAGACATTGAAAATTTTTGTTCAGTTTCATAATTTAATTTTACAGGAACAAAGTGACAAGCAACATTTTTTTTTTAAAAAGTTCATTGTTAAGTTATTTTTCTATTCATTTAACTGTACTAATGTATTGAAAGTTAAAATTCATTCAATAAGTATCAGAAATAATACTGAAATATAAGTGTGTACTTGCGGAAATGTGTACGTACCCTGGTGTACTTGCGCGACTTTACAGACATATGTCTCCTTTATATGGGGACCTGCAGTGGACTGGTTGGAAAGACACGGTTCACAGTAGAGTCCCGAAGTGAAGCATAACTGGTGGTCTGCGTGGTATCGCTCCTCGTTAAACTGTTGTACCGTAAACTGCTCAACTTCATGCAGGTTTTCAGACTACCAAAGCAGGGGAGCCATTCCCTCTGCAGAGGATCAAAATTGCGATGTCATGTCTTCGGATCATCCTCTGGGATGTTTCCCCAGACCGTCGCCAATGGCCCATTGTGCAGCTCTAGTGCATCCGTAAATAAAGTACAATAGTTACCTACCTTTATATAGGGTGGTGATGAATAGATGGTTGTATTGGCATTGTCTTAAAACATAATAAAATAAAAATAGAAGCAACCATTGAGCCTTGCTAAATAATGGTAGTCATATTTATCTTGAATGGAATGGAAGTTGTAGAAATTAAACTTATCCACTTCACACACAGATATAAATTTATTTCTAAAAGCCTTTAATATGCCGGTTTTATACAATAAGGAAAAAGAGTATGGTGTGTGTGGCGAAAATGGACATTTACGAAAGTTCTCACATAAGTCAAGACAAAAATACTCATGATTTGGTCCGATGCACGTAATTCATAGAATCAATAAATATCACACTTTTAGAAATTAATGCAATTTTTCTTCTTGCTGTCATTTAGATAGAAGTAAACTTTTTTCCTCATTGTCATAATCAGACAAATATTTAAGTAGCCATTTACTGTCGTTCAAATGATAGTGATGATTAGCACTTCATCGGGAATTTTTATGTTTGTTATCAAAATATGATGTACACCTGCCTCAATCTCTATCCACGCTGTTAGAATTTTCACTCTGATTTTACTGTAAAAAGACCGACAGCAGTTTATGCATCCAATTAATCATAAAGTTTATAGTTAGAAATTTTTTTTTAAAATTATGTAACCGTTATATTATAAACCATTTTTATATAACCATTTTATTATAAACTATTAAGCCTTCTCATAGTTAACAGTTTCAACATCATCTATTTGATCGTTATTTGACTACTTTGGTTGAATATGGTAAGATAACAGTAAAATGAATTGTCTTTTAACCACTTTATAAGGGAATATATATCTTTATATATAAGAAGAGAGTGGAATGGTAACACATAGCCAATCACAGAAGACTTCTGGTTTGTAACGCACAAAACAGTCAATCAAAATTGAGAACGCATGTATGTGAAAAGGTAATAATTTTTAATATTGCTGTCAAGAAATACAAAATACAAACTGACCTCAAATAAAACTCAGAGGACTTCGAATCAAAAAATTAAGAAAACTCTACTATTACGTTTATAAAAAGGAAGATTTATTAACTCAACAACAAAATTATAACATCGCCATTCAAAAAAAAAAAACAAAAAAAAAGAAAGAAAAAAAAATTCTCACACTTGTTACGTAAAGCTGTAAAAAGACCGAACGATTATTTATGCAAACGATTATATATGATTATTATGAACTAAACTTTATGCAAACGATTGTTTATAACTTCATTAGATGAAAGTGTCATTAACGCAATATTATCCAGTGTTTATTAATAATTTTGAGTGGCAATGTAAGAAGATAGTTGTTCTAAAGTTTTATAATAAAATGTTTGTTTTAATAGAACGCATTTATTTATTTCAGAATTCCAATATATTTTATTAGCTTTGATAAATCGGGTAGAGTTATTGGAAGCACGAATCAACACTCTCTCAAAAAACTATTTACATTCCAAATTATCAAAATATATTGAACAGAGTTTACTTTAAAATACTTATATCTTTTATAAAAAATGGATCGCCGTGAATATCGTAGGCGATATCAACAGCGGCATAGAGCTGAACATGATAATCGTAGTGCTATCAATACGCGACGGCGGAATGCGCGGCGAGGAAACGTTGAAAAGTCAAGACGTTTAAATGAAAACGAATACCTTGGTGTACTTACGAATACTTCTGATTGAAACTAAAATAATTTGTCAGTTGACAGTATTGAAGTTAACTGAGCAATTACTTGCAATGGTATTTGCTTTTGAAATATTACTTAGAATTAACTTATTAATTTTACATGTTTTAATTTTTTTTAATTTTTGTAAAGTTTTTTTTCATCAGGTTTTAATTGTTTTTATCTTAAAATTTAAACTGGGGGAGGAGATAAAGCACCATATAGGCAGCGTCCGGCATCCTATACAATCAACAATGATTTGAGTTAGGTTCTACCGCGTGTGCTTCGGATACGGAGATTAATCTCCGGCTAATGCCCTAAAGTAATGTGTTAAATAATACTGCTTCCCCTCTTTATATAAGTTTGTAATATTGTTTGTATTGAAATTGCTTTATATAAGTTTATAATGTTGATAATAAGTTCCTCTGACATTTTACAATCCTATCATATTCTCTCTATGTGATGTTGGTGCAGAAAAATTGCCAGATGATCTCCAGGAAAACGACTTTAAGTTTGTTCGCGAAACGAACGAAAATGTAATTGCATAGCAATTATCGGGGATTGGCGAGCGTTAGTGAGTAGGGGGCGGAGCGCTCTAGTATATATATATATATATNTGTATGTGCTGTTTATATATATATATATATATATATATATATATAATAACATTGTTGAGAAAACGAAATAATCATTTTAAAAAATCACACTACTCGCACGCAGAATCTAAATTTGATTACGAAGTTTTCTTTTTCTTTTAAATCAAATAAAATCATTCTAAATCTTAACTTTTTCAGCATATTAAGAATACCTTTTGGATCAAGCTTGATTTGATACTTAAGTGGTATTAAAAACTCAGCTAATTTGTTAAAGTGGTATTAAAAACTGAACGAATTCTTCAGATTTTTTTGTTGAGTTGTAAAGGTTTCAAGAAAATAAAAATTTATATTCCAGGCGGATAAAAAGCTAAAAAATGCTCTTAGACACAAATTCTTTTTAATTGTGGTAAAATCAATCAAAATCTGGGTTTAAGTTAAAGCTCAGAGCAAAATAAAACGTTTAAAAAAATGAGCTAAGTATTTTTTTATTGAAATTGCTCAGGGAAATTAAAACGGTTATAATTGACTATGGAATATATTGGAACAAATAGTTTTGTAAAACAAAAGTGGATTGAATTCATTTATATATGAAAAGTTTCCCTTTATCTATATTTAATTTTTTTTTATATAAAAATCTTTTTTTTCTTCTTTTATTTAGGCGGAAATCAGACCAAGAATCGCCAGCAAAATTAAAAGCTCAAGACTTTCAGGTAATTTTTATTTCAAAATATAAACTATGCTAAAGACTGTGTTTTCTTATTTCAACTTCCAATACATGTTTTTTTAATGTAATCATAAAAACTCTTTGCTTTAAGTTCAAGCCATAATTGCTTTTTGCCTCAATTTGTATATTTTAAAAGATGATTTAAATTACAACATCTTCTCCCGTTTGCTTTTAACAAAAAATGAATAAATTATGTTTGTATAAATTTTAAAGGGTTCTAGCGTTTATCAAAACATCAATATCTATTTATTTTTAATTTAGATCTTGAAAAATATTTTCTGCAAAAAAATTGAAATTTATTTGTATCGTTAAATGTTTAATCAACTTATATGAGCGAAGAAGAAAAATTAATATAAGAGCTTATTAAAAGAACATTAAGTGCTATAGTGAAATATTACGTATACTTTCGGATTGTTTGCCTGTAAAGTTTGTTGTTCTTGTTGTTACTTATGCTACATGCCGATACCAGCAATTGTACTTAAAATCAAGCGAATTTTTAAAGCATGAATTCTTTGTTTTTTAAATTGCGTCATCAATGGTCACGAATATGACTTTAGTCACACACTGTTTTACATGGAGGACCCAATCAAGCTCCATTCATGCATTCATAGATCATAATTTTGACCTGAACCAGAGAACGATCAATCCCCTATTCAGTACTCCCAAAGGTATTGTTTTGTTCTGGGAACTATGAAAACTTTGTGACCCAGACAAATTTAACCTGTATTCGTCCCTATTTATTTAAAAAAGGATTTTTCGGCTTGCGGGAATCAAACTCACGTTCTCAGGAACAAGAGTCCAACGTCCTACCAACCAGGCTATCTGGACTCTGGTATGTAAAGTTTTGTGTTGTTTGGTTGCAGCGTAGATAGCAAAAATTTTTCTTAAATTCCTAATATATTTTAAAGCTCATTTTGTCAAATATCCTAAAAAAATCATTTTTATATATCCTACTAGTATTCTCAATTATTCAGAAGTTTACAAAAAAATTTAATTTATTTTTGATGTTTTTAGGTTTGCGTAACAATAATTGAAGCGAGACATTTGGCCGGGCTTAACATGGATCCTGTTGTTTGCGTTCAAGTTGGTGAACAGAAGAAATATACTAGTGTTAAAGAATCAACGAATTGCCCTTATTACAATGAGGTAACGAAATATAGCTTCATGGTTTAAAAATGCTGAATTTAAAAAAAATTTAAATATTGAATGTTTGCACGCAAAAAATTATTTACTGTACTATAAACTGACTCATTTAACGTGATAATTAAACGAGACGAGATTTTTTACTATCAAATTAAATTTACACGTCCTCAAATTCCAAAAGGTCATGAATAACATAAAACAAATCTAGATGATAATATTTTCACAAAACTTTGAATTAGTTTCGAAGTGTTGCGGCTTTTATAGGTCAGCTAAGGACACGAAATGTAAAAGTTCACTTTTAAAAAAATTTAAATCAAAATTGAACGATTTTCTCAAAAAGTTTGGTTGGAAACAATCAGTATTATTGAAACTTTATAGAAGATTATTCCATTTTAGAAACATTTAATATTCAATAAAATGAGCCATTTTTAAAACATGTTTTATCCTTAATATTAGATAACTAAACCCTTGTCCATTTTTAAAAGCCATGCTTATTGCAACTTTTGTTTAGAATGTTCAAAATCTAAAACTCAACCAATTTCAAACTCAACCAAAAAAATTTTCGTATGTTTATATTATACTAAACTTATTTGTAAAAATAATTGTTACATTTATCTATTTTTTCTAACATCGCTGATACAAGGGCAATTCATCGAAAAATTGGATTTAAAATTTATTGTATACTTCAAGTTATTTGTTTATATTATATAATTATATACTTAAAGACAAAATTTCTCAGTATAGCCTGGTAATTGTGTTTATTAATTTAGTATAAGAATGCTTTGTTCAAAGCCTTAAAACTATATATTGGGTTAAATATTTATAAAAATTACTTTTTCATTACAGTATTTTGTGTTTGATTTCCATATGGCTCCAATGATGTTCTTTGATAAGATCATTAGTCTTACGGTAAGTAACTGCCATTTTTTAAATATATGTAGTTAAATTATAATTTTTTTTCGTAACTTAATCATAACTCAAAGAGATTAAACTAAAATTTGAAACAGGAATGGGATAGAATAAATCATTCATTAACTGATAGATAAGAAAAAACGAATTATTTAAACCCGTTTATAATTTCTTTCTAATTAAAATTCTATTTCTAAGGAATAGTTATTGAGTATAAAAATTATTTGCTTATTGATATCTTGCGATTTATCAAACCGGACTCATTTCATGTCTTTAAAAGAAGTGTTTTAAATTTTTAAGTACTAATAACACAAATAACAAATAAAAATATGGACATTTTCCAAATGAAACAAAAATTTAAAATTATGAGAGAGTATTTTCAATTCATCAAAACTGGAAACATCAATCTTTTAAACTTTTCTTATTTCGAAAAAATATAAAAAAAGAAATTTTTCATAAGAACCAAAAATTTAAAATTGTAACAGAATATTTTCAATTAATCAAAACTGGAAGCATAAAACTTTTAAACTTTTCTTATTTTGAAAAAAAAGACATTTTCTAAATGAAGCAAAAATTTAAAATTATGAGAGAGTATTTTCAATTCATCAAAACTGGAAACATCAATCTTATACTTATATTTTAATAGTAATAAGTAATACTTATATTTTTAAAAAGTTTCAATAATGTGTCCTAGATCCCTTTAAACATAGACAATATTCATAGACGCAGAATTTATTTTCAGTAATTTGACGAATTTTATTTTAAAAAAATATAAACTGAAATATAAAAACCATTTTCTTCGTAGTGTTAATAATTATAAAACTACATTAAAGCTTTTAACTTAAACATAATTATCATCCCCCCACATAGCGCGATAAATTTAAATGTAGGCACGACTCTCCCATTATTCAGGCAATATCTAACTTCTCCACAACATCTAATTAATGCTGCTTTTCAACGTCAGTTTAAAAGCACATTATTTTAACCGATTTTTCCAATTAACAGGTTCTGCACTCGAGAAACATTATACGCTCCGGAAAAGTGATTGGCACATTTAAGTTGGATGTTGGCACTGTCTTTGCACAAAGTGGTGAGTAATTTTTATTTTTATTTTCGTTAAGTGATTCTAAAAGTCGTATAAAATGTACTAAAATAAAATTAGATGCATGTTAGGCATTTTGAAAAATGCTTCCCTTAAATCAGTGAATAGATACTTTCTTAACTAATCGATTCTTAATTTATATTTGAAAATTGAACCAACACGGACGCGTCTAGGAGAGCGAGTCGGTGAGTTTCCAATGCAGAAATGATTTCGGGTAATTTATCATTAAAATGTTGTGATATAGATATAATTAAACATGAAGATGAAATTTTTTTTTACATATTTTTTTTTTATTTTTACTTGTAATAAGCTACTTGGACTAGGGCTAATAAAGACGCCCGGTGGCTGAGTGGTAGCTCTTCGCGCTGTCGTGCCATAGGTCCTGAGTTCGATCGTCGGGCCGGGCAAGCCTTTCATCCCTTCAGTGGGTCGATAAATGAGTACCAAGCATGCTTGGGAACTAAACACTGGGAGTTTCGCGTTTGGCTGACCATCTAACCGGAACATCTGCTCCAGCACCCCAGAGCCCAAGGTCAAGAAAACTGAGATGGGTTCAGTAGACCTTGGCTCTCAATGGGCTCTTGGCTCTCTGGTAGGGCTAATGAATAATATAATATGTAATAAAGTGCTTCCATCAATTTATTACTCTTAAAAACAATCAAATTTCTCAATGTTTCCAATGCTGTTTTTAAATATGAAGGGGAAAAAAACATTTTTAATCGCTGCTACAGGAACCAGAGCATGATATAGATTTTAACAAGCGTCGAAGAGTTGACTGAGCTGTCAGCGTGCGTGTCTGCGAAGCCGATATCAGCGGGTTTGACTCCCGCTCACCTTCTTTTTCTTTTTTTTTTCTGTGTGTCGTCCTTTGATGTGTGAATGAGCCCACCCTATGAACAGGTATCTGTAGAACTGTGACGTGGGTAATATTGCTCGTCCATGTGACTCAGGTTCACAGATACCCACCGGGTACAATGCAAATAAGTACCGGGGCTAAGTTTTGAAAATAAGTACCGGGGGTTAAATGAGCAACGTTTCCAGCACTTTTCGAGAAGAAAAACCNACATAGGACTTGCTGTTTTTAAATATGAAGGGAAAAAAACATTTTTAATCGCTGCTACAAGAACCAGAACATGATATAGATTCTAACATGCGTCGAAGAGTTGGATGAGCTGTCAGCGTGCGCGTCTGCGAAGCCGATGTTAGTGGGTTCGACTCCCGCTCAGCTTCTTTTTCTTTTTTTTTCTGTGTGTCGTCCTTTGATGTGTGAATGAGCCCACCCTATGAACAGGTATCTGTAGAACTGTGACGTGGGTAATATTGCTCGTCCATGTGACTCAGGTTCACAGATACCCACCGGGTACAATGCAAATAAGTACCGGGGGTTAAATGAGCAACGTTTCCAGCACTTTCCGAGACGAAAAACCAGAAGTAAGTGAATAAAAATATATCAAAATGAGAAGTTTTATTGAAATTTCAACAAATGTTATTGACATTTTTGAAGCTATCTGTACTTAATGATTGGATGAAGGACATCATAAATGGTATACTATGAAGAAATAAATATAAAAAAGCCGAAGTTTCAATAATATTAAAAAAAAAATTATTATTTATTATATGTGAAATAATACGATCGAATATTCTATACATTTCGTCCTTTACAGTCATGAAGCATTTACAAAACTTCCAATCCGTTTGCAAAAATACTAGTATATAGATGAGTGGTTTAGTTTTATTGGTTAATGTGATTGCACAACCTTAAAAAGCTGTGTTAATTAGGAGCAAATAACTGTTGAAAAGCGTCTTAGTTTTCTCAGTTGAAGTGAAAAGTTTTGAAAGTTGGTTCCATAACAGTATTTCAATATTTATTAGAAAAATTGCTTTTTTCTTTTTTTGGAAGCGAAAACTGGGGATTATTATAATGATTCCGATCCTCTTTTGAGAATTTCATTTCAATGAAAGTATTTGAATCTGTCACTCTGAATCTGTGTCTGAATCACAACTCTTTCATCAAACTCCAAATATTTCCCGACGACAATTTATCATTATATTTCTTACTCGAAATAAGTCCCCTTCCGTTTAGAAAATGTTTAATAATGTCCTCAAATAAAATTTCGATGACAGTAGGCAGTGATTATCTACCTTGGAGGAAGTAGTAGATATACCAAACTACAAGCTCGATTGAAAGCTAGAACGAATGGTAATTATTCAGGTAGCCATTACTGTTGTTAATGATGGTAATTATATTTAAATCGTGCCACATCTGTCAAACAGTTAGAAACTGTAGAATTATTAACGATGTGGGATTAACTTAGGGAAGATGAAAGATGTTGGACTTCATTTGAAATTTGAGTTGCTTCGTAAATTAAATAAAATTTAACTGATTTTGAAGCAGCAATCTTAAATATATTCAGAACTATACAAAATGACATTTTGACAGTTAAGTGGCAGTTTCTCTTGCCATGATTCGAATTCTAAGAAATTAAATCAGCCTTGTCAGCAATAATTTCACAACCCACTTTCTAGGATCTATATTGTTGGAAAAAGAAAAATCAATGTCTTCTTTTCTTATGTTTATTTGTATCGTATTTCTCTTTAATTTATTATACAATGTATTGAGCTATAAATTTTTTTTTCTTTTTCTGTTTTTATACTTTTTGTAAGGAATTGGTGATATTGAACTCGGAAGTAAATTACAGAAACTTTTTGACAGTTTTTTAAACAGTCTAAAAGTGATGAACAATTCAGAAACCTACCAGAATCCTTAAAAAAACAAAAATTCTGGTAGAAAAGTCTCAAAAAGTATATTTAAAACTTTGATGCTTTATTTTTTCTAAAATATATTTTTAAGAATTTCATTTGCTTTGTTCCATGAAAATAATATTAAATATTGAACATTTGATAAATAAATATTTAAAAAATGCTATAAAGATTTGAGAGTCTAATAAGTCATTTATTTTCAGTTTCAGTTTATTTCGATGTTTTTTTTTCAAAATGCATTACTTTTTCTTTATTTTACAGCTTGAAACAAGAAAGTTACATCAAAGGAACAGTTTTATATAAGACTTGCAATTTAGACAAATTTTCTGATTTTATTTTTCTTATCTGATATTAAATTAAAACTACTAAAAATATTGAAAATTAGATCAAAGTTGCTTATTTAGAAAATGTATTAATTTTATAAGCAATGTTTATTGTTATAATTACGCAGGTATCTAATACTAATTTGGAAAAATCATTACCAAAACGCTTCGGTAAAAATTATCGAGATTTTTGGTGCTTCAATAAAACCTGAAAAATACGGTAAATTTTACCATATTCTGGTAGTTGTGACCATATTTTTTTTCTAAGTGTAAACTCTAATAAATACCATGGAGGAATATTCAAATATATCTGAAAAGAAAATTTTCCTAATATATATGAAATGTCTCTTATAATTAAGTGTTTTTAAGATTAAAATGAAAATATCATTGCATTTAATGATGCAAAATCTGCTTAGGTAAATTTATAAATAAAAAAAGTAGTCTAAAGCTTAATAGAAGTGTTGATAAGGAAGTTTGCAAATGAACTAAACGAAAATAGTGCTTTTTCTAGTAGCATCCGTAACCGGATGCAATTTAGCCAGTGGCTATATATTAACATCCTGATTGAAGTTAAAATTTTCTAAATATATTAATCTCGCTTCTAAGCCTTGAGAAGGAAATAAAAGTCCATTTTCCTGTAAAAAGTTAAATGAGAAAAAAATTTATAGATAGTAATATCAATAGACGATAGGAAAATTTATTACTTCTTAACCACCGATAAACGAAAGTAATTACCTGCCGGGTATCCTGTTTTTGCAAACCACCGATGGTAATATTTTCCATCACCTAGCGTAACAATCCACTACATTTCAATAACTAAATGCCTATTAAAGATTCTTTTTCTTCTTCGTCACATTTTGAAAAATTTCCTGAAATTTGAAAGAAAAAATTTAATTCGATGCTAGGAAAAAAATCAGCCCTTTTCTGAAATATATATATAAAAAATATTAAGTAACGAAAGCGGCCAATCTACGCTGTAGCCAATTATTTTTACTTTTTTTTTCTTATTGAATTAAGTTCTAACGCTTTTCTGACTCCAGTGAAAAAGAGCTGCAAAACTGTTATTCAGTTTCTGACATTGAGAAAAATCAATGAAATGTCTGGAAGAAAGTTCTAATTAAAATCTTGTTAGTCACAGCGAAATTTCGTTGGAAAAATTTATTTAGTTTTAACCGGAATCATTCATATACCGTCTTGTTTGCAGTGTAACATCTGCAGTGTAAGTTTTTAATTTGTAGAAACGAGATATATTTTTCTTTCATTAAAAGGAATTATTCTAAAGTATTACAGAACATTCCTTGGGTTTATTTTATTCGAGGAGTATCAACTTAAACTTAATTAGTGAGTTGATTGCAATTGATTCTTAGTCAGTACGTGAAGGATTTACAAGATTCATATTTTAAAAAGTAACACAAAACTTTATTTAAAAGTAACCATATTTCAGTTTATTCAATGTTTTGTTTTATCAAATGTAACATTTTCAAAGTTTTAATAGATAATTGCACATATTTCTTACTAAACTGTTTTGCTAATTTATTTAATGAAGACAGTATTGAGAAAGTTCTAAATTAGGCTGGTGATTTTCAAAAATTTAATCTTGTTGCAACAAGCAGGACTTAAAAAATAAATGTTAAAAAATTCCTGGGGAAAATTTAAGGGACAGGCATTCATTTTTCTTGTCTGAGTACTTGGTTTATAGTTCAAACACATGGGACTATAAATCTTTTCTAAAAAAATTTTCATTATGTTTTAACACTAGAAAGACGGTTGGTGCCATTTTGGCCTCTCTCGTTTTTTATTGCTCTATAATTCAAAAAATAACCGACTGCAAGCGTTTTTGACTTTTCATTGTTTGATCCGATTCGAATGCCTGTTCTGTCGTTCATGCGCTAGCCTTATACACGGTCAGAAAAAAAATTCGCTTCTGTTTCTCGGAAAAATGGCTAAATAACAATTTATTTAATTGTTATTTTACCATATCCAAACAAAACAGTCAAACAACCATAAATAAGACAGTATTCAAACTGTAGATGCGAGAAAAACCAATTATTAACTATTTTCATCTAATACGGTTAAACAACCAGAATTTTATCGCATCAACTAGGTCCACTAAATGAAACCACATAGTACCTTGCAGATGGGTACATATCATAGCCGAAATGACTAATCAGTCAATATCGTGACTGACAGAACGAGTGATCGAATCCCAGTGTTGACACCACAATATGTCCTCTATAACCTTCCATACATGAAGAGTTTCCAGTACTCCCCGATTTGTGACCCTGGACTATTGGAATACGATACTTTCATTCACGCATAGATGGTAGCACCATAAAGCTGCTAAACTATCTCCAATGTTCAGTCAAATTTATTTTTGTTAGTTTTTTTAACCCTACTAGATGTAAACGGTTTCAAAACATTCTTTACCGATAATCATAAGCATTGAGCAAACCAATATATAATTTGTAAAATTAACTTGTTAATTATGATTAGTTACTAATGATTAAAAATATAACTTGTAAAATAATCTAACTAGATATATTAATTAAGCTAACTTGTATTTTGCAAGTTTCAATTAAAAAACATATTTACACAAAAAGCGTAATTTTAAGAAATAGTTCAACACTGTTAGAAATTTCTGGGAAAAAATTGTTAAATAACAATTTATTTAATTATTATTTTACCATACTTCAACAAAAGAGTCAAATAACCGTGAATAAAATGGTATTCAAACTATAAGAAAAATGGTTTAGTACCTACTTTCACCTAATTCGGTTAAACAACCAGAAATCGATTCGCACCAACTAGACCCACACAATAAAACCACTTAGTTCCTTACAACTAGGTACATATTATAGTCCAGAGGGCTAATCTGTCAATCTCAAAAACCGGCAGAACAGGGGTTCGAGTCCCAGCGTTGGCACTACGATGTTTCCTCCATTTCCGTCAACATATAGAGTTTCCTATGTCCTGTACTCCCCAATTTGTAACCCTGGACTATTGTAATGTGATACTCTCATTCAAACATAGATGGCAGCACCATAAAGCTGCTTAACGCAAAAAGCCTAGTATTTTCATGCTAGTTGTAAATGGGTAAAAAGACATGTAGTTTTGTACTCATGGTTTTTTAACCATACTAATTGTTAACGGTTTCAAAACAGTAAAAAAATGTTTTTTACAGTTAACTTCAAATTTAATTGGATAAACACACTTGTTTTACTGTAATTTGAGAGTAGAAATTCTTGCAGAGAATATAAGAAAATGCATAAAACTGTCGTTTTAAATTTGAGAAATCCTTTTATTTTCGTAAGGAATTGTTTAAAAAGATTTAAGTGAGATTAAATTGCTGTATTTTTTATCAATATTTTTTGTTGCAATGAGAAAAACAAGGTTTTTTTCAACCCATTAAGAAATACTGCGAAGAAAAGCTATTAATACAAATCTCTTAATCTATTTAATCTCTTTTTATGTGTTCGGCACAAAAGATTTACTTCTTTTGCTACATTTGACAAACTTTTCATTAAATAAAGCATTACCAAGAATTTTTAATTACGGTCTTGCGTAAGCCTTTGTTTAAAGTGTAAATCAATAAAATTGAAATTTTACAAAAAAAGAACACTTATACATAAAATAATTTGATGTATTTTAGTTACTTGAGCGAAAAGATTTTGTGTAGATTGATTATACAGTCATGAAAAGTTTCAATTACTCAGCAGGAACTCCAAATGGTGATGGTTCAAATATTTTTTAAATGGCTTCTACTTAGTCTTTATTCTCTTTGAATAAATTGCAATTAGTTAAAGCACATTAAGTAGTAAACGTTGACTAAACAAACTTAATATAATTATTCGTAGTTAAAGCTAATAGAAATTGCGAGGAGTTTTGAAGAGTGCCTTAGCTTTAAGTTAACTTTATATATTTGCAAGCATTTTTAAGTAATTAGTTTTTCCTATTAAAAGCTTTAATTTTAAAGTCAAATAATATTCTATCCCTTATTTTATTAGAAAACTTATCTTCTGTGTTAATGATTTACTAAACAATTTGCTTTACATTTTAATGATATTATTTTCTGCGTTCCTTAATTAAATTATTTAACTTGTGTTTTGCAACGTGTTTAGATTTAAAATTTTTCTGTAAAAAACCATTTATGTTGTCTCCATGGTATATTTGAGAGATGGGAGACGATTACAGTAATCGATTAACAGCACAGTAAGTAATTAAAGTGCAGTAAGTAAAGTAATGGATTACAACTGTAATTGATGACATATAATTAGTGCTATGCAATCAATTGCTTGTTATCTTAGATACCAATAAGTGTGTTTTTTTATTTAGCAATGTCATTTATTTTGACTACAAGTAATCACAATTATTTGTAAAAACGATGACATGTAATCACATATTTTGATTACTTGTAATCATAATTACCCTTAATCGTTTCTTGTGATTGGTTGAAATCACAATAGCTCTGAATTACGATTGCAATTGTAATCAAAATTGTGATGAGTTGTAATCAAGATTGCAGCTAATTGATTATAGTAATCAATTGTTGCAATCCCTATTACAGCTTTAACCAAAATTATGGTGAGTTATAATCATGATTACAAGTAATTGATTACTGTAGCCAATTATTTTAATCATGATTACAGCTATAATCGAAGTTGTTATGTAAATTACAAGTAATTGATTACTGTAATTAATTGTTGTAATCGCGACTACAGACAGCTGTAATTAAAATTAAGATATGTTGTAGTTATGATTACGAGTAATTTATTACTGTAATTGAAAAATGTGATTGATTACATTTTTGTCCTACTTTGCTGCATGTATATTGTATTATCTTACTTGGTCTAATTAATTTAACTTAATATTGCCAAGTTAAAAATTTTAACTTTTAGTATTTTCTTAAGAGTTGCGTAACTTAGATTCAAAAATTTCAAAATCATTTTTGTTCTTAATCACAGAATTCTAAAACGGATACATAAAATTTGTAAAGATTAAGAAATGCAAGAACAAGCACTTTTATTGCATATCATGGAGTGCCATGCGGTAAAAAAAATGGGATATCCATAAAGGTAAAAGTAGTAGATCGAAATATAAAAAGATTTAAAAAAAATTGTGCGTTATCAAAAAATTTTGTGTCAACTGTGTATTATTTTGACCTATTTATAACTCCTGTTAGGACAATTATCTTTTAAATCGGTCTTGGACATCCCTCTCTTAGAGATGAACATTTTTTTTTACATTTTTGCTTTATTTATTATTCCCTTTTTGTACATTTATTTACCTAAGTTGTTATTATTGAAAACAAATTCTTGATTAATTAAGCAGATAAAAATTATTGACACAGCTCACCAATTTGAGCCAACCAACTGAATATTTCAATTCATCTTTCAATAGACAAAAATTTTCAAAGTTTTGTCCTTTTGTTTTTGTTTTCGTTCATTTAAGAATCGTTTGTCATTTCATACTCTCTGAGTTTAGAAATTTGGTTTTGACAATAATTCAGAATACACGCTACAATAATAACAGAAAGTAGGCTTTGAATTTTGCATTATACAATACAATGCGCTTCGATACCAAAATTCTAAAAAAATAATTTTTAGTTATTTTCAATAATAATTTTTTATCGAGGTTACCCGTATGCACATATATTATTAGTATAACGTCTTCTTTACAAACACTTCTCAATTTCAGATCACCAGTTTTATCATAAATGGGCTCTATTGACTGACACAGATGACATTACAGCTGGGCCAAAAGGATACTTAAAATGTGACATTTCTGTTGCTGGAAAAGGAGACAACATTAAGGTATTCACATAAAACATTATTTTTATTTACCTCTTGAATACTTAACTGAAATAAGTAGAAGCTTAAATATCTGTAAACTAATACAATCAATCTTTTATAAACATTTCAAAATGGCAATAGAATGTAGTATGAGAAAAAAAATTATACGTTAACTTCTTTTATTTCTCTTTTTTTATCTTCTTTTTTTTCGGTACTTCAGCCTAGAACAGACCAAGACTATCCTAGTCTGCTCCCGCCATCGCTATCTATCCAAGGCCATTGTTTTTTTAATTTCAGACACCTAACACACCGAGATTTTTTTCTACATTGTCCAATCACCTGATACAGCCTCTTTTCCTAGTTCCAGAGGTTTCGTCAAAAGTCAGTTTCTTAGCATTATTGGAGTCTTGTAATCATTGCAAGTGACCAAGTCATCTTAATGATTTGGACTATATTAGATGCTATGATGATGTTATGCTAAAAGATCTATATTAAATCAATGTATGTTATGCTTAAATAATTTGGACTAAGCTAGACTCTTTATTATAAAAATTACTCTTATTTACCTCTTAAAACCCAATTAAAATAAACAGAAACTGTATTATCTGTAAACTTATATAATAAATCTTTTAAAAATGTAAGTTTCATAAACATTTACAAAGGCGATAGGTAGTTACAGAAAAAATTAAAAGCGTTTAACTATTGTACTTGTTCTTCTTCCACTTCTTCTTTCATTTCTTATTCTTTTTTCTCCTAAATCTTCTGAGACACTACAACCTAAAACAGTCCAAATCAGCTTCCATAATTGCTTTCCATCCAAGATCACTGTTCTCCAAATTCTGGCACCTAACTTTTCTACTAGCATTTGATAATTTAATTATTATTGTTTTAATGTATAATTAGAATACATTAATAGTATGAAAATATTTAATAACTATCCTACAACTTTTCTTTAAAGTATCTTTTAGTTCTAGCGTAATTACGCTTCCGATACTTTAAAAGTCTTCCGGAAATTTATTTTATTACGTCGTTATATTGACTTTTAAGCTTAATAAGTCTTGCAGTTTAATCCGAAATACGGGTATCTAAAGGGGTGGAGAGCGTTTTGAAATAAAAGAAAGTGGAGCCTTAAAAGTGGAAGCCTTATGGAAAATAGAGCAGTTTAAGAGAAGCTCATTGCTTGCCATTTAAGTTAACACGTTCCTTACACAAAAGCTGCCCTAAGGAGAGTCAGTAAGTTATTGGTGTAAATGCACTTGTATACTGTAAAAACCGCTTTATCAACAAAACAGCTTTAGAACGTCGAATATACAGAGAAAGTCAATAAAAGAACTAGAATTTTTTACAGTGTGGGAAGTGGTGTCCAGTCATTAGCATTGATGTTTGAAACAAATTTATAAGCTTTTTTTACCATCCTTACGGAAGTCAAGGTTTGAGAGAAAGTCATAATAGGAGAAATAATAGGGGATCATAATAAGGGAGCCATGCAATTTTAGGATATTTTGTCAAAAAGCACCTAGACCCTGTAATAAGTTATAATGATGAATGCTGTAAGAGATTTGGCGCAATACAGCGTGCCTTACGAGGAGGCCTGTTAATCGGTAACTCCTATTACCTCTTTCAAAATCAAATTATTTTGTCCTTTAAAAAAAACTTAAAAAACACAGTTTCTGAAAACTATAATTATTTTCATTATTTTATTTCAAGATTGCCATGGTAATTATTATCTCGTGAAAGATCTTAAATGAAATTTTTTACCATAATACATACTAAAATTATTATGGTATTCAATTTTCTTTCTGAAAATAATGATATATGGAACACTAATAGCTCATTCCAGCAAATTTTCATACTACCTAAGAAACTTTTATTGGGTGAAAAAACTCAATTAAATTTTTAAATAAGTTTAGGCCAAGAAATAGCTTGGAGTGATAATTGGATTTAAAAAATATTAATAAATTTTCAAATATTCGGAATTTTGAAATGGAGCAAAATGTTTTAAGTTATTAGTGTTTTTTTTAAATCCTTTATAAAAAAAAATACGCTAAATCCGTAGTGTGTGCCAAAAGATGTTGAATTAAAAATGGAAGAGCGGCAAAAAATATTTCACTTCTTTATGTGTAGTTAAAGTTACTGCCTAAACATGCTTTTACTAACATTTTGGCTTATTTCCTCAAAAATGGCTGCCTGCTAAAGAAAAATTAAAGGAAAGAAACGATTTTATATTCTTTAAGAAATTTCTCTTTAGCTCACGTTTACAGCTTAATTATTTTTAGTTCAAAAAGAAAAAATACAAAAAAAATACAAATTAGTAGACTTTTATCATTTACTGGCCTAATAAATAATGTTAAACTGAAGTTTTATTTTCTATCTCATTTACACTTTTTTCATAAAAATGTTTTTTTTTTCAGACATACCTAATTATTCATCTTAAATGTTAGAGTAAAAAATGTTTCATTAAGAAAATTTTATCTTTTTCAGTAAATAATTTAATATTATGATCCAATACAAAAAAAATTAGAAATTAACGTAATAAAAAGTTTATAAAAAGAATTTCAGAAAATGAGAAATTAACTTATATTACCAATCTGATAAAATAATCTTGTAGGTACTTAATGGAAAAGGTTTTCAATAAAAAGAGTCTATGGTAAAATTAATCTTATGTAAAAAGAGTCAGATTTCAATTAATAGTTCATTTAAAGAAAAATTATAACCTCAACTAACCTAACCGAAATATTTTATGCAGTAAAAACTTTTTCTAAGAAAACGAATCATATTCAGCCCAACTTTAAATCAAACTTTTTAAATATACATGTAAAACTATTTTTAATTAGTTTCTACTAAATTTAAAAATATGGAATTTCTTTTTGACATTAAAAATAAATGAATAAACGTGTGCGCTAAAATGTTCCTATTACATTTTTTCACTGTCCAGTTTTCGAAACTATCAAATTAAGAAATAATTTTGAAATTAAAAGCCTGAACAGTATTGGTAGCGTTCATATTCTACACTGTAAAAAAATCCGGATCAAATTACGATCAGCAGCATCCATAAAATCCAATTTACAGTTAAATCCATTTAAACAGTAAATTATTTAACAGTAATTTTTACAGCAATATTTACTTAATTAGAGTAATTCAGTGATTCACACTCTCTCAGAGTAATTCATTGATTTCTCACTTTCCCCTCTCCGTTACCATGGTTTCGGCAAATCTTGCTTTGGCAGTTCATTTCAGTTAGAAATGGGAATGTACTGGAGTACTTAGAAAAAGCGATGTTTGCAGTTGCCATAGTAGCGGAGAGGGTAAAAGTGTGGAGCTTGGAGAAATCACGTAACCTTGAGACGATTATTCAGTTTGCAAAGAATGTAATTAAATCTGAAAAAGTATAAACTTTTATTTTGAAATGAGTGATGCATTTTCTTAAACAGCATTTAAAAACTCCTTTGGACTGCTGTTTCGTTCCTTTTTTTTCACATATCGATCCCAAATTATTTATGTAAATGAATTCTTAAACATCCTAATTCAATTCGCAGAACAGCGAATAACTTATAACTAAAAAATTATTGTTGTTATTAAAAAAAATTTCTTCGCAGTATAAAGCAATTACTTATTTTATTGCTTATCATTATATAATTTTATTCTTCTTTGAGAGTCGAGCTATTTCCGTAAAGAGAGCAAATCATATAAAGTTTATTTTACATTCTATGCTGGACAATACTTTTATGCAAATATTCATAATCTTTGTTTATGACCGTTAAATTGTTTTCCCCGTCAGTAAAAATATGATACTTCTAGTTGTTACTGAGATGACATGTTTAAAACATTTTAGGAATATTTATTTTTTATCGTAAGACTTCTGAAAAAAGAGATATTTAAAGATGTTCCATTTTCTGCAATTGTTTCGAAAGATGCGATTGCTCAATATATTGAATAAATCAAAGATAATATCAACGCTCAAGGTTTCTTCCCTATCTATTCTTCTGATTTCAAAAAGAAACTTTTTTTTTCAAAGACTTAGCTTTAATATTTTTTTGCGCGGAGAAAGTATTTATAAATTTTCTTATTTTTATATATTACGATTCAAAACATTTGCATTCAGTTTTTTCTTATTTCAAATCTGCAATATCTAACCAGAATCCGTTTTTGCTTTCACTATTTTGATTATGTTTAACAAAAGGTAACTGAGATCCGCAAAACATCTACCTAATTATTAAAAGCAACATAAAGTTCGCTGAAATTAATACTTGGGTAAATTATTTTGAAAACCAAAACATTTTTTGTACATTTTTATGAATGTATTCTATACACAAGTTTCAATAGACATTTGAAATTGAACTGCATTCCGTAAGCTGAATTAAATTTTTGTGATATGTTTTAAAATTGTGGACTTGTTTCAAGTTTGGTTTCAACTTTTTTTTCTTCGCTACTGAAATATGTTAGTTTTCCGTAAAAAAAAGTTTTATAGAATCTGCTAAACTATCCTACTTTCTTTTGTTTGGTATAAATTCAATTTCAACTAAACTAACATTGAGATCAGGTATTCTCATAAGTGACCCATGATTTGAAAAACTAGTTAAATATAAAAGAAAAGAAACAGAATATACGATTTACCGAGAATCATTTAAGAAACAAAGATTATGAATTAAGACCAGGTTTCACAATTAGTTCGAAAGTTCGTCAACAGTTGATGCAACCGAATAGGAGAAGCTTTTATAAAATAATGTTTTCAAAATAACTACCAATTGCAAAAACAACACGGAGCAACAATAAAAAATTAACATATGCCCGTAATAACATTTTAAGTGGAAATGGTCTGAAATGTGTGGTTATAGTTTTTCCCATCCAACAGTGCCCACTCTTGACAAATTTCGTAAATAATTTTGAAATTTAAAATAAGTTATCTGGTTTACTAAACAAAATGCCAGTAAAAATATTTTTTTAGTTCGTTAGTCGTTTTGGAGTTAGTTAGTTCATTTAAAACGTTTTCGCTATAAGTGTTTCCAATTATGATGCAGCAAGAAGCAGTTGTTTATATTATACTGTCACGTAAAACAGAATTCTTTATTCCTCTTAGCTTTAAACATGACTTAATTACTAAATTAAAATAAAGTCTAGACAAATACATTCTTTCTTAAACAGTCAGGTATGGATTTTTACAAAGAATTCAACTGTATTCTTATACAAAGATATAGTTTGCATTGCGCCATTTATATACAAAATTTTAGAAAACCCAACTAAACAATATGCATGCATAAAAGTTTGAAATTTCAAAATGTATTTTCCGTTTATGAATTATTTATTTCCCATGTCTGTCAACAACTTTTAAAACCTTCGAAATAAATTGGCAAGTGTAGGGCAACATTTCACAAGAAAAGATCTGAGTTTATTCTTCTGTTTTTAAGGAAAAAGTAAATTTATTGGAATCTATAGACAATTGAACGAGTAGTTGCAGTTGCCAATCAAAAAGGAAACTTTTGGAAGAAATGTGTAACCAAACGTGAAAATCATAAAATATGCAACAACATCAAAAAGTGTATACATAAAGTAAGGATAATGCACGGGCAAATTCATATTTCTTGTTATTTTAAATCATGCTGGCGAAAATATTTTACCAAAAAAATTTTTTGCCCTTTTTTTCAAGCATTCATTCCAACAGTTGGAATTTTTATTTATTCTGAAAAGAAACATGCACTTTTTGTACTTGAATTTTCAGGAAAACTATCGAGACTAAATCGAATCTTCATAATACTGAGTTGTTGTTTTTTTTCTTCGAAATCAATAGTGTTCTGTTGTCAATACTATTGTTGAAAATTAGGAAATACTTAGTTTTTCAAACTCAATCTTACAGGATAGAGTCATATATATTAATTGTATATAATTGCGTCGTATCGTATCTGTTAGAAATTTTTCAGAAAAAATGGTAAAATAAAAATAAAAATCATTTATTGTTATTTTACCATATGCAAACAAATCAGTCTAACAACCATGAATGAGATGATATTCAAAAACACAAAAAAGTCTAGTAATTCCCATCTCTTACGATAGGTGAGACAACTAGATAAACTAGTTAATTCACATTCAATGGTTCATCTGATAAAACCCAACTCAACTACAACCCAACTCCAATGCCCATTACCGAACGAAAACCTAATTCCATTGTCCAGTTAAATTGTTTTTTATGGTTTTAAGACCATGCTAGTTATAAATAGTTTAAAAAAAGCCGTATAGTTTTGTATTCATGGTTCTTTAACCATACTGGTAGTGAACGATTTCAAAACGGTAAAAGTAAATTAAATGTCCTTTACCGTTAACTTTAAGGTTAATTGGATGGACAGACTGCTGCCGCATATTTAACCGTAATTTCAAAATAAAAATTCTAAGAGTGTGTAATTTTGTCGTATTGTATATATAATTGTGTTGTATGCATTATGAAACTATTTCAATTGATAATAAAATAAGAAAAGAAACACAGGAGAGGTTTTGTCACCATGATCATTAAAACTATTAACTTCATCAATTTAAATATCATGTTTTTTTTTCGAAAGGAGTAGTGTTTAGTTTTCAATAGTATAGTTGCGAATTAGGAAACACTTAGTTTCTTAAACTTAATTTTGCAGGATGTAGTCATATATTTTAATTCTATATAATTGTGTCGTATATACTATGAGCTATTTTAATTGATTGTAAGTCAAGTAAGGAAATCCAGGAGAGGTTCTGTCTCTATAATCTTCAAAATCTTTATTAATTTATTTGCTAATTGAGGATTTCTTACCAGATATAATATAATTAGGTATACAAATAAATAATTAAATTCATGTGAATGTGATTATTCATGTGATTCATATGATCATTCATAACTGTCTTCATGTGAATGTGGTTAAATAGTATGTTAGTAAAAATTTAAATTAATAATTAATCTCCATCACAGCTTCAAGAAATAGCTTTTAATGGAAAAAAGTAAGTCTGTAAGCTCTAAAAATCTTGGAGTTTGAAAATGTTGATGAATAACATTGTTAAAAATATGATGAAAGGCAGATAAACTGCTATAAAGTTTTTATATTACGAAAATAAAAATAGTTATCTGGACGCACAAGAAATCAATGAAAATACTAAAACAAAATAGAGATTGTTAATTATTACGGCACCAAATATAAATTGTTTTATTATTAGTAGTAATAATTGTAGCAGCAATAGTAGTAGTATGTGGAAATAGATTCCAGTTAATAATTATGATATTGTGGTATTTTTGTAATGACATCTATGGTTAAAAAAACATAATTCAGGCAATAAAACAAAAATATACGGTATTTAAACCATTCATTTGGTACTTTTTTCTTTCTTATGGTAACGGTCTAACGGATGTTCCGGTTTTCAAGCCTGTAGTAATTCATAATTAATTATAGTAATTCATAATTATTTATAGTAATTCACATATTTAGTAAAAATTCAAAACTGAAAATTAAATGTACTCGAATAATTAATTTTTACGCTATTCTCTAAGGTATCATCATAAAAAATCAAACTCATAACCAAAACACTTCTGTAAAAAATTACCATTGTTTTTGGTGTTGTCATAAAGCCAGGTATACGGTAATTTTTACCCTATTCTGATAGTTTTGACCAAACTTTTTCTCTCAATGTAGTGGTAGTAATATTATTGAACGATATTACTTAAATGATTTAGCCAATTGTTATGAAAATATTTTTATTCCTTTTTAAAAAGAAAAATGCCCTTATCAATTACATATACATTTATAAATAACATTAAAATCTGTAGTACTCTGTGACTTGCTTAAGATCTTTTGCTTTTTTAGCCCCCACCAAAAAGCGAAAAGGACGAAGATGACATTGAAGCGTAAGTATTTTATTTTAATTTATATATTTTTTCACTTTGCTAACTTAGTTTTAAGCGCCTTTTAAACCAGCATTTATGTTTAATTTCTTTTGAAAAAGTGTTATATTTTGTAAATTTTTTGAATAATTAGTAATTTAATGCGAGCATCACCAATTTCGTATTGAGTTCGAAAAATCAATACAAAAGGAACTTAAGGTAGTTACAAATTGTAAGACTTTTCAATTTTTACTACTTGCATAAAATTGGTTAAATAGTTAGGTCTTAAATTATTAGTGCATGGTGTTATTTCACCTTTATATCAAAAATCGTAAATTTTAAGTTCTACTTACATTAAAATACACATTCGCAATTTTTACTAAAAATTAAAATACATAAAACCATCATAATTCAAACAAGCGAAATCTGCATTAATACATAAGGATTTCTTAG